GGGATAAGGACACATATGTAATACCTTAATCAATAAAGAAAAAAATAGTTGGAGGCTCTACCTATTTCAAAGGGTAGCTGCTGAAGAGTTAATGTCAGCCCTTGAGGTCCATGCACAGTCAAAGGGGAAAAATGTGAATGGAGTGGAAGATCTCATGGTTAGAATGAACATTCTTGAATTGTGAAGACTTTGAAAATTCTCCCTTAGTTGACAAATGTGAAAATATAGAAGTGTGCAGAAACCCTACCCAAGGCTTATTACACTGCCTCTTGCCCTTCCCACACACATTCAAAGTCAGCTAGACACAAACCAAGGGGATACTAAGAGTCAGTCTACTCTGATCACTGTGGGCTAGATTAGGTCTCCAAGGCCACAAAATGGAAAGCTTATTGAAGAAAAAATGGATCAACCCTGGCCAGCCCTGCTCAGTGGTTAGAGTGTTGGTCTGTGAATTGAAGAACCTCTGTGGTTAGATCCCGGTCAAGGATAAGTACCTGGGTTGCAGGTTCAATCCCTGGCCCAGTCCAGGCCCATGTGGGAGACAGGAAGCAGGGAGGCAACCAATCAATCTGCCTCTCTCAAATTGATCTCTCTCTCTCTCTCTCTCTCTCTCTCTCTCTCTCTCTCTCTCCACCTCCCTTTCTTCCACTCTTTCTAAAAATCAATAGGAAAAATATCCTCAGGTGAGGATCAGTGGCCAGTGTTGGGGCTTACAAATGTCCATTAAGGAACTTCCCAAATAACAAAAATTAGATGTGGAAAGACATTTCCCTGATTATTTCTTGGGGTAGTCAGGAAAAGCCACTGGTGATGAGCCATGACTATTGACTCTGTGGAGCAAGATGTGGGGAAGGTTGAGAGGCTCTGTTTGTCTTGTCATTCCTATCACCTGCACTGAGGTGTGCTCTGCACTGGAGAGGTTCTGGGAAGAATTATCTGTGCAAAGCTACGTGGTCTGTGATGGCCACAGAGTCATGGCAAATGAGGTGAGCCATCCATGGAGCCATGATGCTCTGTGTAATGCTGATTCTGGCAGCTCCGTGCCCATCACCGAGGGTTGTGCCAAGGGAGTTTAGCCCAGGCCTAGCTCCCAAAGAAACGCTGTGAGAGATGGTGGTTTTTATAATCAGAGTGAGAGATTTCATGTTTAAAAACTTTTTAAAAAAATATATTTTTATTGATTTCAGAGAGGAAGGGAGAGGAAGAGAGAGATAGAAACATCAATGATGAGAGAGAACCATTGATCAGCTGCCTCTTGCACACCCCACACTGGGGATTGAGCCCACAACCTGGACATGTTCCCTGACTGGGAATCAAACCATGACCTCCTGGTTCATAGATCAACATTCAACCACGGAGCCAAGCTGACCAGGCAACAATAGTCTTTTGATGAATGCTAATGGCCGAAAGTTTTAAGAGAATGGATTAAGTAACAAATATAGACTTCTTATATACTTAACATTGTGGCTAAAGAAGGCCAAAGAAGAGAAGATAAACTCTAAAATGGTATACCTGAGACCTTTTGAGAGTTTGTTGAAAGGCAGGACCAAGGTAAGGGCAAGCTCAACTGATTTTTATTTAAAAACAATTTTTTGTGTGAATAATTTTTTTTTGTTTTCTTGTTATATATATTTTTTTTCTTTAATGATTAAGGTATTACATATGTGTCCTTATTCCCCCATTGCCCTCCCACTCATGCCCTCACCCCGCCACTCGGTGTCTGTGTCCATTGGTTATGCTTATATGCATGCATACAAGTCCTTTGGTTGATCTCTCCCCTTACCCCCACCCTCCCCTACCTTCCCTCTGAGGTTTGATGGTATGATCAATGCTTCTCTGTCTCTGGATCTGTTTTTGTTCATCAGTTTATGTTGTTTGTGAGGAGAGACAAAGAACTAGCCTCTGGAGCATTTGTCCCTCTAGGTGAAAAACATCAAATTGATGCCCAGCCAGTGTGGCTTGGTGATTGAGAATTGGCCCATGAACCAGGAAGTCATAGTTAAATTCTCTGGTAGCGCACATGCCTGCATGTGGGCTCGATCCCTAGTGGAGGGCATTCAGGAGGCAGCCAATCTATATTTAGCTCTCATCATTTCACTCTCCCTTCCTCTCTATAAAAATCAATAAAAAACATATTTTTAAAAAACATAAAATTGTTGAGAAGTTTTGCCACTTTTTTAAGACAGGTTAGAGACCTTAAATAAACTATACTGAAGCCAAAATTGAGAACTTACTATAAGTAAATGTGAAGACTGTGAATAAAGAACTGAAGAGCTATAATTTATTAATTGGACTTATAGAAAGCTTGAAAAGAAAAAAAATTCTAACTATACAAAAGTTTAGCTGATTGCTGACATTACAAGCAAGATTAACTCCTTAGAAGACTTATCCAACAAATTAAACATCAAGTAGCAACCAAAATATCCTTCAAAAACCATCAGAAACTTGGAGAACTGCTTCAGACAGCATTGACAAGCTGTGGAGGACAATTCCATTCTTCAGAGAAGCATAAAGCTGCTTTCATGTGAATCTTAAAAATGGAAGATAAGGGTGTGAAAAACTACTAAAGAGAAAAAAAAAATCAGAATCCTGCCTGGACAGTCAGTTCCTAACAGTAGAGAGATCAAACCTGTAGGTGAACACCTGCTATAAATGAGCCATTGGGCTGCTATTCCTGGGGAAAACAACATGGATTGTGGAAATATGGAACTGGACAATCGAAGGTGTCAGAAATAGAGACCTTTTAACTGATGAATCTAAAGGATTTTTGATTTATGCAAATAAATTAAATGTCAATTTACAAACTCTTGAAGAAAAAAAAAAAGACAGCACATATACCAAAACAAACTACAGAAGCTAAAATCAGTGCACTTAGAAATCATTTGAAAAATTTCCAACCAAGAAAGCTTTGTTGCATTCAGAACACACCTAGGTAGAAAGGGAGATCAAAATCTCCAACAGAAATATCATTGAACTTCATCAAGAAAAAAAATTATCCAATTTAGAGAAAATTTGCCCCATTCAAGGTGGAGGAGAATTATTTCAAACCATATCAGTAATGCATACAAACAGATACATATTATAAAATTCAATCAAAATTATTTCAGAAAATTTTAAAAGAATCACTAGGTATTATTAAATCTTTCTTAGTCCCAGGACACAAAAGCTCATGTTATGGAGATAATAGATCTCTTAGCTCAGAGAAACCTCATAACTTAAAGCAAATGCATACATAACACAAAAATTGAGAAATAACTTAAAATTTCTGAAAACTATGCTCCCATTCCTTATTTTAAAAAATAGTGCATTTGGCACAGACCTGAGGCCACAACCAGGTATCTTCCAGACACCAGACTGAGAGAAGAACATCAGGCTGCAATGGGGAGGGAATGAAAAGATCCAGGCCTAGTATCCACTGTGTATCAACCCCCATGATCCCTCCAATCTGCTGACTCCATCCTGAATCAGCAGGTCTTCCAGGAGAGCAAGACAGAGCTATGTGGTTCAATTAGTTACTTTACAAAGAAAGCATATATCGAAGAATTGAATAAAATAGGAGTGAATAGTCTAGATAGAAAATATAAGGCCAAGTGGCAGAATAATTGTTTTCATATATCTGAAGTCCAAGATGGCTAAGATTAATTCCCCTTCTTCAAAGCATTACATTCTAGAGCACCACACATGGCAGTTTAGGGTGCAGATAGTCATTCACCATAAAGATGAACCTTCCAATGATAGCTGTCCACAAACCCGATGGGTCACTATTCTGGGAGATATTGGTCCAGATTCCCCTTTATAAGCCTTCACACTTTCATAGATATTTAACAAATTCCCTCCCGTAGGAAATTAGGCAGAAAGAATTATGATAATCAGTAATTATTATCAAGCAATTAGTATTACAGTATTTCTCAGCAAGATAAAATCACAAATTAGTCATGTACTGTTTTCCAAGTCTTATAAAACATTTATTCAAAAGCCATGCAAGCTTGTTATTTAATGTGTCCCTCATAACATTTAGGCATCTCTCATGAGGTTCATGGGTCTTGATTTGGCCCTGACCACTGGCAATCATTGCCAATCATTTCAGTCTCAGGAGAGGTCATCAAATAAAACTCTCCTCCCGCCCTTCCCCCACCCCCCCCAATTCCACATTTGCAGGAGGCAAATTTCCAAAAAAGATGAAGGATTTGGATCTCATCAGGCATGTGTTTCTCTAATGGTTTAAACAGAAGATACATTTGATTTTCTCAAGAAATTGAGAACATTTTTTCTAGTTGAAATTCATCCGACAGAAATATATCAGGTACCTCTATGGATTCCTTAAAGTGGAAATATGTATTTACTGAGATTAGACTTGGAAGTACTAGATCTCAGAGATTGCTTTGGGAATGTGAGAAAGTCATTATTTGCTGGCTTTCCAGTAATTTATTTTGAATTTGTTAAATTCATTGATGTGTGACTGCCTATCAAAGCTTGATAAATAGCTTATAAATCACTTTAGGGTTGGCAGAAATAAATATTAACAAGTCAATTTCCAAGGAATTTAAAGTCAGTTTCTCCTTCTTCTGTCACCGTAAGTTAAAAAGCGAATCTCAAGTTGTTTCATTTAGAAAAGAATCTACAACTGTTTTTGTAATAATTTATTTTTATCAGGATAGTCACAGGACTATTTATGATATGAAATCAAACTATTTACTTAAAAGAAGAGTCTGTTCTTCGTAAGTCCACCTTGGACTTTCATATGACAAGAGTTTTGTGTGAAACTTATTTATAAAATACCAGCACAGTGATGATTGTAATCATTTGAGAGGCTAAAGTAACCCTCTTCACCGAGGTTTGCTCAGGGCTGGCCTCAGAAGAGGGAAAGAACAAAGTGAATCTTGTGAGGCTGCCAGGATTTTAAAGTACATTATCATGTGCTTAAAATCAACAAACTTTATGTATTTGGCTAATCTCTGAGTTCTAAAAGATCAGACAGCTAATATGGAGTGGCTGCTTACCTGTTCCGATAATTTCTGTCCGTCCAGGTGGGCCTGCGTCACAGCATCATTCACAAGAAAGTGGAAGTTCAGGAGCACGTGTTCAATGTCATACGTTCCATGCATGGCATCTGACAGCTCTTCCAAGGACCGGATGTACGCATGCCAGTGTGGATTCAGCTCCGCCATGTGCGCCAAGCAGCCTCTCACGACGTTGAGGCAGTACCCCATGCACGGTTTACTGAGCGTCAGGCCCTGGCAGTGAGGGCAGTACTGCATCCTCAGGAGGGCTCGGCCACACTCCCTGGAGAAGAGCAGATGGTCTGTGGTATTGATGACTTCAATGCCCAGATTCAGTGCCTGCAGAAACGTGCGGCTGGGCAGCAGCGACCTCCCCATCTGCCCCATTACTCTTTGGGGGATATTACCAAATGGACTAATGTCCCGGCGAGCCATCCGGATGCATTCCGAGTACTCCAGGGAGCTGTCGGTCACAGCAGGGTTAATGAGATGATTGTAGACTAGAGGGAAAAGACTGTCAAAGAATCTGTTCACAAATTCTTCAGGATTAACATCCGCACCGAATAGATAGAGCCCCACATCGGTGAAGAACTCCTGAACTGAAGCAGCCGCCTCTAAGGCCATGTTCCTGTAGGTGTTGCAGAAAAGTATGCTGGTGTAATTCTCTGCTTGTCTGATGAGAGTTTCAAGGGTTTCTGTAACAAAAGCAGAGGCAAAGGATGGAAAAGCTTAGTATTCATTTTAGAACTCTTTGTCCATCTGCTCCAGACAGTAAATGAGCTTAATGCACTGAAACTATCCTAAAGATCTAAATGAGAACGCTCAGCCTACAAACCCAATTTAGTTTCCGAAAGATGATGTCTGGTCAACAGTGAGCATTACACACAGCACACTTGTTTTACAGAAATGTTTTCCTAGAATCAAACACATTTTAAAAAAGAATAGAAATAAAAAAGAATTTACATGTACATTATATTATGCCTTAGTCATTCATAAGCCAATAATGAGAGGGAAACGGTATCACTGAGAAAATAATTTTTGATCATGAGTTCATTGTTTATCAAATATAGTGATATTAATTACTTGATTCAACATGTACCGTATTTTTATATTTTTTTCTCAGAATGAAAACTAGTAGATTATGTACTAGTTACTTCTAAGAGAGGCTAAGTTCCCAAAGGAAAGTCTGACAATCCTTGGACCTCCTAGCATGTTCAAATTAAAAAGAAAGTAAAAAATTTTATAATTAAACCCCTAAATTGTCAAACCTTATTTACACAGTGGGAAAGTCGTGGGAAGTATTAATTGATGAAAATAAATAATTGTATGACCACCTTCTCTACTATCTTCTGTTGTTTTTAATCATCTTATCTTCAAAGATTTTATTGTGGGACATTTTATTTTATTACTAAGTAATGCTTCCAAATAAATTTTGCTACAGAAAGAACAGAGAATAATTCATCCATAAATTAAAGGAGGTTGTAGTAATCAGCAAGTAGATGTCATACTTCAAAATGATAGCTTTAGGTAGCAGTCTACCACTGGTAATTACATTTTATAATTATCCTAAATATGATACATATCAATATAATATGTAATTAATTATAAAATACACCAATAAAATTATCTTCCATAACTTCAATCTCAGTTATTTTTCATTAGGTCATAAAAGACCACACAATAACTGTAACCCAACCATTGAATCCTATATAATAAAGAGGTAATATGCAAATTGACTGCCATGCCCTCACACAAGATGGCCACCCCATGTGGTCACAGATGGCCAGCAGGGGAGAGAAGTTGTGGGCAATTAGGCCAGCAGGGGAGGGCAGTTGGGGGTGACTGGACCGGCAGGGGAGGGTAGTTAGGGGTGACCAGGCTGGCAGGGGAGGGCAGTTGGGGACAATCAGGCCGGCAGGGCAGCAGTTAGGCATTAATCAGGCCAGCAGGGGAATGGTCAGGGGGCAATCAGGCAGGCAGGCAGGTGAGCAGTTGGGAGCCAGCAGTCCCAGATTGTGAGAGGGATGTCCGACTGCCAGTTTAGGCCTGCCGGATATCCCTCTAGGGATCCAAGATTTGAGAGGATGCAGGCTGGGCTGAGGGACAACCCCATCCTGTGCACAAATTTTGTGCACAAGACCTCTAGTCTATATTATAAAAGGTTTGTGGCCCTAACGCCGAGACAACCAAAGACTGATGCAGATGGATGGGGCTGTGCTATTTCATATGCTGGGCTTCTAGTATATTATAAAAAGAGATGACAAATTGTAAAATAAAATTAAATAATAGAAAACAGAGGTGCAGGGAGAGCTGGTGAAATGGAACTGTGTCTGAATTTGCCATAGTATCCTAAAAGAAGCTAACCACTATCATAAAATAAGCTTTCATAAGATAAGCTACAATATCATGTACCCTAATTCTGTTCTGAGACTGATTCAGGTTGGGTTCCAGGCTTCAGTGTGATATATCAAGGTACACGCTATTGTGTTCTCTTAAAATCCATATGTCGAAACCTAATCTCCAATGTGATAGTATTTGGAAGTGGGACTTTTGGGAGGTGATTAGGTGATCAGGGTGGGGCCCTCAGGAATGGGATTATTGCCCTTATAAAAGAGGTGTCAGAGCTCTCCCTTACCCTTTCTGACAGGTGAGGACACAAAGAGAAAACAGCTGTGTATGAACCAGAAAGGGGACTCTCACCAGATAATGAATCTATGCGCACCTTGATCTTGGACTTCCCACCCTCCAGAATTCTGAGATATAAACTTGTCTTATTTATAAAACTACCTAGTTTATGATATTCTGTTGCAGCAGCTGGGACTAAGAGAGAGATTTTACCTTGCAATCAAAGGCAACAGTTTTTAAAGGCTGTTGCAACTCTGATGGAACTGGAGTGCTAGGAACTCTAGATTGTTAACCAGGCAGGGCTCATGCATTACCTGTGCATCTCCAGGGCCCACTATAGTATAAACTGCATTCTCAATCTCAATTAAAATGTGAAAGGATGAAAATAGGATGGTAACTGAAGGCTTCAGCTGAGATTAGCTGCTCTGCCAAGTGAGAGAGAATTAACACCAGGTTTTCCTGACTGGCCTGACAATCTGGGCTGCCTGAGGAAAATACCAATGGCCAGGTCTCTGTACTGTGGATTCTAACTCAGTAGGCCTGCCCTGGTCCAGGAATCTATAGTTAACAAGCAATCCTAAAAACAAGAGGGTGGAATTATTTTGACTTGGCCACAAATGGGATTGCATCAAAATAAAAGTTTCTGCACAGCAAAAGAAACCATCAATAAAATAAAAAGGGATCCTACTCAATGGGAGTACATATTTGCCAACGATACATCTGATAAAGGGTTAATTTCCAAAATACATAAAGAACTCATACAACTCAACAAAATGAAGACAAATAATCCATTTAAAAAACTGGCCAAGGACCTGAATGGACACTTCTCTAAAGAGGACATAAAGAAGGCCTAGAGACAAATGAAAGCAATACTCAAAGTCACTAATCATCAGAGAGATGCAAATTAAAATGACAATGAGATATCACCTCATACTTGCCAGAATGGCTATCACTCATATATCAAAAAAAACAAAAAGTGCTCGTGAAGATGTTAAAAAGGAACCCTCATGCACTTCTGGTGGGAATGCAGACTGGTGCAGCCACTATAGAAAACAGTATGGAGTTTCATCAAAAAATTAAAAATGGAACTGCTATTTGACCAAGTGATCCCACATCTGGGGATATATCCTAAGAATCCCAAGTTGGCCAGTTTTTGAAACATTGCAATTGCATATATCTATAAAATGTTCTCTTTGCTTTGATAGAGGGGTTCAACAAGCATTCCACCATGATAGTCTGACCCCACAGTTGAAACCTCAGCTGCTACTAAAGCTTTCATGGAACCATGAGAATGAGTGTGAAAAGCAAATTAAACCTCTGTGGTTGGAACTAAAATAAAACTGTTAAACTTATTTATTATCAATAGCATAGGCTTGTTTTCCTCCTCTTCTGTGAGACTATAAACTAGGAGGAGATAGGTTCCAAGTTTTCTTTTGTAAGATAAAATAAGACTAGGTTAAAAAAATACCCATATATCACAAACATTCCTACATGCTTCCCACCAAGCTTGCTAAGGTGCATGCTATAGGTGTATGTGATTGATACCTGCCATGTTTCTCAGTGCAATAAAGGTTCATGCTACCCCAAGCAATAAGACAAAGATCCCATCTGACTTCTGCCAACTCTAAATAATGCTGAAACACAATTTTTTAAAGTAAAAATTAGAATGTTTCTTTATAAATTCCACTCCCATTAATTTATAATTTATTCAGGAATATAGGAAATTCATCTTTTCCATTGCTATAACTAATGTTTGCAAATTAATTTATTTTGTAAAAGCAATGTTGAAGAGAATATATTTAATATTTAGTTGTATCCATTAAAAAAATAGGTATAGTAATTCCAAAAATCCTTAGTTCTTTTGAAGGCTGCTCTGCACTAAAGGCAAAACTTGAAATTGATTACCTTTGAGTTCATAATTAAAAATAAATTTATGAAAAAATTCAACAATGCTGATTTTATTTCATTTCACACTATTTTTTCTCTGGTTTATTGTTATTCTTTTTTTAACAAAATAAAAAACTGAAGAAAAAATTTAGGAAACATATTATAGTAAAATTTTAAAATCTTTTCCTAATATCATATGCATTAAAATTTTAGGTTTCATTAAAATGTATTAACTGGAAGCCCAGCGCACGAAATCACGAGGCCCCGCCCACCCATGTGCACCTTGTTGCACTCGCAGCCCCACCCACCTGCACGTGCCTCGGCCACCCACACCGGTCTTTGGTCTTTAAAGAGTTAGGGCCACTGGGTTTTTATAATATAGACTAGAGGCCCAGAGCACGAAATTCATGCACTAGGGAGAGGGGGTATCCCTTAGCCCAGCCTGCACCCTCTCCAATCTGGGACCCCTCGGGGATGTCCAAATGCCAGTTTAGGCCTGATCCCTCCCCTGACTGCCGGTTTAGGTCCGACTGGCAGTCGGATATCCCTCTCACAACCCAGACTGCTGGCTCCCAACCTTTCACCTGCCTACCTGCCTGCCTGATTGCCCCTAACCACTTCTGCCTGCCAGCCTAATCACCCCTAACCACTCCTCTGCCAGCCTGATAGAAGCCTAACTGCTCCCCTGCCAGCCCAATTGCCCCTAATTGACCTCCCCTGCCCACCCAGTTGCCCCCAACTGCCCTCACCTGCCAGCCTGGTGCCCCCAACTGCCCTCCCCTGCTGGCCTGGTTGCCCCTAACTGCCCTCCCCTGCCGGCCATCTTTGGTTGTGGGCGCCGCCATCTTTGAGGGAGTGGCAGTCAATTAGCATATTCTCTCCTTATTGGCTGTGGGTGCTGCCATCTTTGAGGGTGGGGCAATCAATTAGCATGTTCCCTCCATGTTTGCTGTGGGCTCCACCATCTTTGAGGGAGTGGCAGTCAATTAGCATATTCCCTCCTTATTGGCTGTGGGTGCTCCATCTTTGTGACAGTGTGAGGGTCAATTAGCATATTCCCTCTTTATTAGGGGATTGTATTACCCTTTGAATGAGACATTATATGTTCTCTAACATCAACATTCTGATTCTATCCTGAATAGCTAACACACAGTGGGTTTTAAAAATGAACTATTCTGCAATT